TGCTACTGCTGCGGCAATCCCAACCACAAGTTGCCGGATTGCAAAGTTCGTGACAAGATCCCCAAGCCCGAGTGGGCCATCAATAAGTTCCAAGGTCTGAAGAAACAGTTCTTCCAACAGTACCATCAGTTTCGCGAAGCTTCGACGGCTCCGGTCCCCCAGACAGTTACCGCAGCCCAGCTTCCACAACAACAGTCTGCGATGAGCTCCGATGCTCAGTCGCACAGGAGTGAGTTCCGACCAAGTTTCAGTCCAATCCCACCAGGATCGATTCCACCACAACTTCAAGCACACCAAGCGCAAGCCCAGCAATTCCAGCAGTTCCCATCGTCTGCTTCCACCGCTGGCTCGACACTTCCAGGCGTTGCCAATCCACCAAGCAACGAGTTCCAGTTCCGTCCACAGTACCACCAAGTAGGGATTCCAGTTCCCGTTCCGAATCAAGCTGCAGCCCTAGCCCAAGTTCCTCAGGTCCAGGCGCAGAGTGCCGTTTGCACAGGAGTGGACTGCAGATTGAATGACGGTTTGGACAAGTGTTACCTGGACAGTTGCAGCTCGATCAATTCAGTGGCCAATAGTATGGCCGTCGGTAAGAATGAACGAGCAGCCAGACAGCCGATTGACATGCAGACAAACATGGGCAAAGCACGAATGGACCGAGAGATGGATGCCCCCTGGGGAGTATCCTACAAGAACCCAGGAGGTGTGGCTAATATTAATGCCCTTGGTATTCTTTCAGATGAGTGCAGAGCAAAGCGAGATGGCTCAAGAGTTTGGATGGACACCGCATATGATGATGCCATGTACCACCTCCGTGGAGACGGTTCCTATGTCAGATATGGGAGAACCAAACTCGGTTTGTATGGTACCGACATTGACGATCTCGAGAAGCAAATCATGAACTCCTACGAGAAACAGAACTCACCAGCCGTTCTTAATCAGATGGTCCAGACCGTGGAAGGAAATATAGAAGGCTTCACCAAGAAGCAAGTGAAGGGAGCTTTCCAAGCGAGGGAGCTCTATGCAAATCTCCAGCGACCGCCTTTGGAAGACTTCAAGAATATGATCCGAGCCGGACAGATCCGAGATTGCCCTGTGATGTTGGAGGATATTAACAATGCCGAGCTGATCTTTGGCAAGGACATGGCCAAGATCAAAGGCTCCACTACCCGGAAACGTCCACCGCCAGCTACCGAGAGTGTACATGCTGTCCCTGAGGAGTTGGTGGCCCATCACCGTAATGGATTACCAGGTGCCATGGATGTTGTCAATATTTGTGGTCTCAACTTTCTCTCCTTTATCGACTTGAAGGTTCGGTACAGGCAGATCGTTCGATTGAAAGACTTGACCACGGATTCATATTATGAGGCCCTGGATCAGATCATGGACACGTATAACGGGAACAAGTTCTACATCGGGACTATCCAGTGTGACAATGCGTTTAAGCCGTTGATGGACCCAGTCAAAAATGATATGGGTGTGAAACTCGACCATCCGGCAGCACAGGTGCATGCCCCCGCCGCAGAGCGGAACAATCGAACCATCGAAGACCGTTTTCGAGCAGGTTTCCATGCAGTTCCTTTCCAAGTCATGCCGAAGATTATGGTGGAGCATCTGGTTTATGATTGCAATGAAAAGTTGAACCTCTTCCCAGCAGCCGAAGGAATCTCCCGTGTCTACCCCCTGTGGCAGACTTTGACTGGTAAGACCACAGGTTACAATGACGTCAAGTATACGTTTGGCAGTTTCTGCATGGGTCACCACGAATCCCCTGCAGCTCGCAAGAACAGTGCCGAGCCCCATGGAGTGCATCTATCTGCGTCCAATCCTGGACAACAGCAAGGGTGGCCATTATTTGTTGGACTTGCACACCTGGAAGGTGAAGACACGCCAGTACGTTGACGTTCTACCGATGCCCAAACTCGTGATTGAGCGTGTGGAGAAGAAAGCCTACAGTGAAGGCATGAAACCGCTACAGACCCACAACCGGAAGAAGGTGGAGTTTTTGCCTGTCGGTTTGCCGGCAGGAGTGGCGGGAAACCAAGGCAGTGAAAGTTACATGCAACATTTTGCAGTTGATGAAGAAGATGACGATGAGGAACCAGTCGCGCCAGTTCCAGATTGGTTTGACAACACTGCTGTCGATAGCGGCGATGAAGATGATGGATCGGTTCCAGGTTTGGTACCGAGACCACAATACGATAGCAGTGATGAAGAAGACAGCAATGACGAAGAAGACGAGGGTGACATTGTGATAGAAAGGTTACCAAGAGGAGTTCCAGGCAATCCGACAGAGCAAGCGAGCAATCGACCGAGCATTGTAGACCCAACTGATGTACCATTCGAAGGCCCAGCCAAAGCAAGCAAGCTGACAAGAGTTGGAGTCCGCAGGTCTGCCAGGATCGCAGCCAAACAAGGAACCACAAAGGGAGTCACTTTCGCACAGGAGTGTGCCACGAACGATGGTCAGGAACCGGAGAAGAAGCCGCTTCAGTATGAGACAATGACGGCAAAGACAATGGCACAGTTCATTCATGAAATCAACCACGGAAGGATCAAAGATGACTCCGTGGAAGGAGCAAGTTATGCGCAGCAGCACTTGTTGCCCAAGGGATTGAAGATCTGGGGTGACAGGGCCAAGGAAGCAGCGCAGAAAGAGATGGACCAGCTGCACAGCCGTGTGGCATTCGCACCCGTTCGACCAGAGGAGTGTAGCAAAACAGAGCTCAAGAAGCCGCAGGTGACACTTATGTTTGTTACAGAAAAGAGAGACGGGACCGTCAAGGCCCGATCCGTTTTCAACGGGAAACCAACCAGAGCCTATCAGGACAAGGATGAGACCCGAAGCCCTACAGTGTCGTTGGAAGGACTGATGCTTTCCATGTGTGTTGACGCTAGTGAAGGGCGTGACGTTATGACTTTGCTTGGATGTACCGAATGCTTTCATTCAGACAGCATTGCCACAACCCAAGGATGGTGGTGACAGGGTGATCATGAAGATCGCAGGTACTCTTGCAGAGCTACTCGCAGAAATCGACCCTGACACTTACAAGCCGTTCCTTGTCTATGAGAAGGGGAGACCGATCCTCTACGTTGTGGTATTGAAGGCACTTTATGGAATGCTCATTGCAAGTCTGCTTTGGTACAAGGCATTCCGCAAGGATTTGGAGTCCATTGGTTTTGAATTCAACCCCTACGATCCCTGTGTTGCTAACAGGATGGTGAATGGCAAACAACAGACTATCCGTTTCCATGTCGACGACCTCATGTCCAGTCATATGATGGCCAAGGTGAATGACGATTTCCTGGCCTGGTGCAACGAGAAGTATGGTACCTACGGTGCTGTCAAAGCAACCAGAGGACCCAAGCATGACTATCTAGGGATGACGATTGATTTTTCTGAGCCGGGCAAAGTCAAGATCGACATGATCGACTACTTGACCAAGGTGCTCGAGGAGTTCCCTGTAAACTTTGATCATGTCCGTTCTGTTCCGAGTGCAGCCCCAGCTGATTTGTTTTCTGTGGGTGACGGTGACAATCTGGACCCTGATACGAAGGATACCTTCCACACGAACACAGCCAAGCTACTCTTTGCCTGTAAGCGTGCACGTCCAGATATGCAAACCCTGACTACCGTCCTTTGTACTCGAGTGAAGCAACCGAACCAGAACGATTGGGGCAAACTTCTCCAAGGCCTCAAGTTTATTCAACAGACTTTGAACGACAAGCTCATCCTCCATGCTGACGACGTTCGCATTATTCGCTGGTGGGTGGATGCCAGTTTTGCTGTACACCCAGACTACCGTTCCCATACCGGAGGAGTGCTCAGTTTCGGCCGCGGTGCCCCAATTGCTGTGTCTAGCAAACAGAAACTCAACGCCCGAAGCAGTACCGACGCCGAACTCATTGGAGCTGACGATGTTATGAGCCCTTTGTTGTGGACCAAGTTGTTTTTGGAAGCCCAAGGTGTTGATGTTCAGGAGAACATTCTTTACCAAGACAACAAGAGCGCTATCATTCTCGCTGAGAATGGTAAGAGCAGCGCCGGTAAGCGTACTCGTGCTCTTAATGTGCGTTTCTTCTTTATTCACGACCAAGTGAAGCAGGGGAATGTACGAGTGGTGTATTGTCCCACACAGGACATGCACGGGGACTTTCTCACGAAGCCCCTCCAGGGTGCCCTATTCCATGCGAATCGAGCTTTCATTATGGGGCATCCCCCTATTTAGTTTAGTTTTAATCGTTCCGTGGATCCACTAGGGACCACGGCAGGAGTGTGTTGGCCGGTCTAGAAATTTAGCAGACCCGGATAACAAAAAGACCGCACCATCGTAGGATTTCAAGGAAACTGGCATTCTCAGAATCCAGATTTCAGAGCAACCAGCCAGAAAGATCATTCTTTCGCCACAGCTCGCCCAAATCAACAGATTAACTTGATAATAGCTAGTAGTTACAGTGTTGCCTTACCCAACACGGTTCGTAATTGGGGATGTGTGACTCAAATCAGATGGTTATCCGATCATCATCAGATGGCCAGGTGTACGAGGAACGAGGACAATGGTCGTCTGGATGATGCAACTACAAAGGTTAGGAAGTTAGGTCGAAGAGATGAATGCAAGGAGCGATGGGACGGAGCAAATGAATGGACGGATGAAGGTCCACAGGTTTAGTAAAGTGGGAAAGCCCCTCCAGGGCCAACCATGCACTTCAGGAAGATAGATCGACGAGATCTATCTGTAGATGAAACTGCGAGAAGCAGAGGATCAAAGATCTGGTATATGTATGCATATCGGAGCTCAGTCTAAGAGCTCACAAAATTGACGAGAGAGAAAGAGAAAACGAAACGAATAGCCAGTCTACTAGGCAGTAGAGCTGGAAAGATATGATTAAATTAGAGAAATTGTGGTTCAAGTTCACACCTTTCAACACACACGGGCTTTGTGGAAATGCATTAGGGTTAGGGTTTTATTTGTGTCAAATTCGCGCAAATTTATTTGACTGAAAGGGTGTACAGTATTTATCCCACCGTTAAAGTCCGTGAGGTTTCCTTCGTTCGCAACTAGTAGAGACCACATACCGGTACTCCACATCGCCACGGCCGTCACAACAACAACAACAACCGCAGCAGCAGCGAATACGATTGGCTACCCTACCTGTTGTACCTTCCAGACATTCATGTGGTGAGAAAATACCGTATGGTGGCGACCACTACCCAATATGACTACAGCATTGAAGATGCGAAAGACGATACGGGGGTGGATGACAAGGACATTGTTGGCGATGACGACGAAGTTTGGCACTACCTCTACAACATTCCGGAAGCGAATTCGGGTTACGGTTGGTTCGACAATGAAATGGCATTATTGTGTCAATCCATCGACCTGAATTCCCGCAAGTTTACGAATAGTCCCCGTCCCTACGATAAGCGACCAGCCGATGTTCCTGCACAGCATCCGATACGGGCGGTGGCCAAAGTCCTAGATTTGGCCCCTCCGGATTCGACCATCCGGATCTATTGCTACGCCTTGTCGGACCCCTTTGCATTGGATCTATTCACTCATCATGGGGGGGATAAAACCGTCAAGATCATTATGCAGCCTTGTGACCGGTCCGTTGGCCGCATCAAAGAATTTTTGAAGAGGTTGGAAAGGGTTAACAGCTACGATGTCTTTTACTCGCGAGTCCAACTTCGAATTGCCGACACTACCCAGCGCGGGTGCACGCGGTACTCTTCCATGCACGACAAAAGATTGATGACAAACAAGAATTGCCTGGTCGGATCATACAACATGACCCCTGTGGCTAGGTGTGCGAACTGGGAGGCAATGGCCCTGACCGAAACAACCCAGCAAGAAATCGACGGTTTTGACGCCCTTTGGGAAACCCTGCGAGGTCGTGAAATTGAAAATGTTTATCCATCTTTCTACCCCGATACATTTAGAGTGCCAAAACGTCGTCGCGAGTCATAGTTTAATTTGTGCGATGCGGCGGGTGTCTCTGTCCCTCATTGCGTTGAACAAATCAAGGCCTAGTTACGACGTAAATTGGAACTGTTATTCGGTTTTATTTGCGTTTATTTCGTTGCCTTTCTTGGGGAATATCATCCAAGCATTGCCTTGAATCCGTCGTATGCGACTAGTACAAGAGGGGGCCAAATCCCAGGTAGAATCCTTTCAAGCCTTCTTGGATTCAGATTCGAGAAAAGCAGTGCCAAGAACTATGATTGAGTTGCTGATCTAGTGGTTTTCCTGCTTGCATCATCATGCGGCGACGAACAGAATCCAATGGGTAACAAATGGTTCCGGCTGATAACGACACAAATGCTCGGCCCATGTCATGGCAACGTATTGCGATGTTGGCCCCTTCGAAGGATGTCGCTGTCGCTTCCAGAGTTGGTGTTGAGCTTTCAAGGCATCGTATCCATCGCGGGGTGCCCCCGCAGGGTGCTCCGTGCTGAAGCACGGAGAGAAGAAGGGGATCCCCCACAGAACAACACAGAACAACAGAAACAACAAGAACAACCAGCGTGCGATCAACAACAACAGCTCCAGAATAATGTAACGAACTAGCTGCGCTACACAACCACACTACAGTCACAGTAGTAGCCAATGAATAGGAGTGTTCTGTTGTTGTTGCGTTGGATGGAAGATGCTAACGATGCTACCGCCATCGTCATGGTGGAATGGGTGAGTTTGGATTCAAATTGTGGGGGTGATCAACGGATACTTGCGATTCTTGGACTTAATGATTTGAGTGGTGTCTGTTAAATCCAAATTGGTTTTGCACTACGCTAAAAGCTAGTGTAAAGATCTTTCGAGTGTTTTGAGTTTGAGAGAATGAAAGTTATGAGAGAGATTAGAAAGCTATGAAAACTAATCAACGAGAGAGATCATCATCAAGGGATCGTAGATCTGGTCTCCCGCGGGAGACTATAAAGTGTGATAGAGTAGGTTGCGGTAGTAATCCTACGTATCTCCACGATCCTAAAACGGAACGCGTGGAAGGTTTGTCTAGCATGAATCTAGTAGCGTGGAAGTACTCCACGCTGGCTAAATATCTAGAGCGATGTTTCATCATCAACCTAGTATGACTAGAGCGGTCATGAGAACCCTGTCTCAAATAACTATTCACAGAGACTCAGTCATGAGTCCGAGAGGAAAAAAGAGAGAGAATATCGCTCCCTACTAACAGAGCAAGAGACTCCGTAGATTCATTGGACTAGTGAACTACTATCGAGAATGTGGATTAGACGATCACATTACTGGCTCACTCGCTTCGTTGACTTCCAAAACAACAAAGTGGAAATGGGAAGACGAACACAACAAAGCCTTTAGCCAGATGAAGAAGATCATCAGCAAAGAAACCTTGCTCGCTTACCCTGACTTCAACGATACATTCGTTATCCACACGATGCGAGTGATACTCAACTAGGTGCAGTAATTCCCAGAAGGGAAAACAATCGCGTTCTACAGTAAACTCAACCCTGCTCAACACGCAACGGTAACGAGAAGGAACTTTCATATCGTAGAAACTCTGAAGAGTTCCGTAACATTCTTAGGACAGAAGATTGTTGTCATACGGACCACACGAATCTTACATGTAAGAACTTCATTACCGATCGCGTAATGCGCCTTATTCTGGAAGAATACGGCCCTGAATTACGGTACATCAAGGGCGAACACACATCGTCGCTGATGCGTTGTTCAAACTTAAATCTCACAATGATGGTTCTTCCGAACAGTGGACGCCACGATGCTGAGCTCATGGTGCAGACGAAGAGGACTTCCTAGTGAGTTCCCTCTCTCGTTCCCGAGATCGAACATCGTCAGAAGGACACAACGATATCAAGAAACTCTCAGGGACAAGCCAAACGACTAAAAGAAGCAATCTTTCCCCAGAGGGAATAGTCTTACGACTTAGTAGTCAAAGACGACAAGATCGTTGTACCTAAGACTATGCAGAAGAGCTAGTCGAATGGTACATGGTGTACTGATGCATCCTGGGAGACTCGCACAGAGCTGACCATCAGCCAACACTAACCTGGAAAGGGTTGCGCAAGACGTGCAGTCCGTATGTCAGCGTTGCCAAAGCTGCAGATGAACAACCAAACCGTAAGCTGGGATTGTGCCTCCAAAGCTTGCGAGGAATCCCTTGGGAAAGACTATGTATTGACTGATAGGTCCTTACACGTCGGGATCCTAAGAAAAGAATTCCTGCACACTTCATTGCTTAAATGATTGATCCCGTAACCGATGGTTCGAGATTGCAGAGTTCTGCTCCAAGGCAGCAGACGAACTAGCCATCGTCCTAGAACAAACGTGGCTTACTCGGTATCTATGGCCTGCTGAGGTTATCATGGATAGAGGAGTGAGTTCCGCGAGAGTGAGAAAGACTCTCCGGGATGAATATGGACTTCGTCGCAGTTCAAACAGTATCAGCACCGCAAGTAGGTCAGCCAAGTACAAAGTCCTTACACTATAGACGAGTCAATGACAATGGACACTGTACGGCTCCAACATGTACCGCAATGGCGGCACAGTCTACAAGACTTGGAACATAGGGTATTTACACCCATACAAGGCCTGATCCCCTGTAGGATTGCCATCGTGCGACGCACATGTCTACATCCAAATTCATGAGAGTGCCCGCACTTTAAATCATATGTTCTCCTGTCCGACTGCTGTCGCGGCCTTCTGTGACCCTTGTCAGGGGCGAATGCAATACACGGCTCTTAGCCTTTCGCGACTCGATCCTAGATAGGGTTTGAGTTC